CCCACACACACACCGCCTCGCTGGCACCGTGACATATTTCTGCCAGGGCCCTCTCGCAGCCCGCCTTTGTCTGCGCCTCAGTCTTTCACCAGATTGGCCTACTACTACTGGGAATCTGCGATATTTTTGTTACTAGATTACTATTGTTGTTTGTCGTGTTGTTTTCCTTGGGTGGTTTTCAGTAGCGCTTGACCGCAAGCTGGGAATGGAATGAAAAGGAAACATACATTTTATTTGTTGTTGTTACGCTTTTACGCTTGAAGTTCTTTGTTTGACAATTTCCTTTGTTTCGTTGTCCCCCCCCCCTCCCCACCCCACCCCCTCATTATTCTGTTGCATTTGTAATTAGGTTCAACCGAGTGCAGCGGGTGCTCTGCTGTGGTGTGGTTTGCTCCTTCTTTCCGATCAAACATCTATGGTCATTGTCTCCCCTTCTTCTTTTTTATGTTTGTTACTCTCTTGTAACACCCCTAATCTTCTGGCGCTCATATGACCTTATATGTATTAGTGAGCATCTCTACTAAAACTAAACTAAAAAAAGCGGTCCGAGTCCCTGTGATAATGCACTGTGTGCGCGGTGCCAGTGGTTTTGTGGTTCGAGTTCACCTCGGGGCATTCTCCTTCTTGTAGTTGTAGCAGTGGTATGGTAGCGGGTGCCCTTGTTTGGTTTACGCCTGTTGTCTTATCCGGCATGTATTGCTCATATCTCGCTTTCTTTTTCTGGGTATGTTACTGTTTAGTAACCCCTCTAATCTTTGCCACCTACTTGAATGACGTAATTGTTGCTGTAAGTGTTGTAAAAACTTGCAGTGCTCACTTCGTACTGTTAATCCTACTTTCGTAATGTGCTTCACTTTTTTTTTTGTCTTGCTCCTCCCAACACTTCCTGTCCATCTATGTCTATCATCTCTCACTTCCTCATTATCTTTTCTTACTCTCTTCTTTTCTCTTTCAGGCTCTCCATCTCTCTGATCGCTCTGTCTCTTTCTCTTTCTTCCCTCTCCATCGCTGTCTCCCTCTACCCATAGCCTTTATCTTTTTCTCGCTCTCTATCTCTTCTCTGTCTGTCTCTCTCTTTTTCTCCCTCTCTCTCTCTTTCTCTCTCTCTCTCTCTCTCTCTCTCTCTCT